AATCATTCAAAAAGCCAATGGGCAGCCATTTAGAGACTCATAATTATTTTAAAATCGAGTGATTTCTATTTAATCACAATGACTTCCTCAAATATATATGACATCAAATGTAACCTTTTTAAGTTAGTACTGCAATCCTTACAAACTAAGGAGGACAGAGGACATTTAATAGTGATGCTATTCAACACCAAATGCAGCGATGATTTCATTGTTCACTATTGAAATCATTGCTATATTTGTTTTTGCCTTTGAAATTTATTACCAGGTATTTTGCGACCATCTTTGAGATAGATGACCATAAGAGATTTATGGCAGTGACCGTAACTCGCTCACAGGTTTGATGACCACAAGTACTGTAGTTGATCTGCCCGTATGTAAAACATAAAATTGTGTGCCATAGGTCTGAGTGGAACCACATTTATATTCATAGGTTCTTGCAATGATTTTTTTAATGCTTTGCTGAGGTTTTTGCAGCTCCAATGTTAGAGCAAACAGTGGAGTTGATGGACAGGATGCTTACTTCAAATCTCAGTGTAATCTAAAGGTTGGAGATGCATAGGGTCTGGGAGTACTGCTGACAGAAGTTCAGTATGCATGATTAGAGATCTGTTCAAAATTAATAGTGAACTACATGTCAAGTATTTCTGATCAATTTCATCAAAGACTCACCACATCAGGGGAAAAGAAACTGTTTGGTGTCCAGATTGGATGCCAGATGGATAATTTAAACAAATTGTCTTGCGTTATCTCATGAAAAGCTGTTAGCTGTGAAATCACATTATTCATAAATGACTTGGAGGAGAGTACTTCATGTAATATTTCAAAATCTTCTAATGATAAGCAAGCTATGTGAACATATGATGAATACATAGGATAAATAGCCTTCATGAGGATCTCAACCAATTATGTAGACGAGCTAAGGAGTGACAGATGAAGTTTAACATAGATTAATGTAAAATAATGCATATTTAGAACAGAAATGGTAACCAGGTACAAGATCAAGGGGTATCAATTTAGCAAAGTTCGAGAAGGAAAAAGGATTTTGCTTTTGATCAGTCACTTAAGATGAATAAAATGAATCACATTCAAGGTTGATATTGAGTACATTGGGCTACATGTCAGTTATTTTAAATGGTGAGGCCATTTTTGGAATGTCGTCTGTAATCGTGGGCACCCTAAACTCCAAAAGGGCATTCATGCATTGTAAAGTTTTCAGAGGTAATCAACCTGAATGAGTATTAGAACTTAAGGGCTATAAGTGATAAAGAATGCAGACTTGATCCTGAATTTGCTTTCATTGGGAAGATTGAAGGATACATGGCTGTGGACTATAAAATGCTGAGAGAAGATGTAGATGGAAACAAGTTTAAACCAGAATTGTAGAATCAGATGACATAAGTTTGAATTGAACAAACTACAAGCAAAGGTAGAGATTAGAAGGATTTTTTCCACCCTGCAAAGAATTTGCTATGTAGAAAAGACTTGTAACAATAACAATTGTTGCCTGGCTGATCATTCAAAAAGGAATGGATGTGTGTCTGGGTGGGAGGAGTACTGGATCAGATTCTGTATTTAAACAGAATATTTCTCCAGAAAAGAGAGTGGGGAGACATTGATTGTTTTTTGGAAGATGTGTAATGGCAATTTTTTTCCCTCTCCATGCCGTATCATTTTAAATCTACTGCATGACTCAAACTGCATATTTTGCTCTTGTCCCTTTCTATCATATGGTAGCAAGACCACTGTTAAGGGGAAATGCACAATTTCCAGAATTATAAAAATAATCCTTACATTTGATATAGCGCCTTATCACATCACTGAGACCTCTCAAGAGCTTCACAGAACATGCTGTAAAGTAAAATGACTATATATTTTGTTGGCGAAACGCGGCAACCAAAAGCACAGCAGTTTGAGGGGATTATTTCCCCCGGAAAAGAGATCCGCCAATCAACTAACAACCGGGTTCCTACTTACTGCCAGGTAAACAGGGGCATGTGGAGAAAGGAAACTTGCCCAACATTTCGCTCACCTCAGAAATCAAACCCAGGTTCTCTTGCTTGCGAGGGGAGTGCTTTAACTACAGGATTCCACATTGAAGCCATTGTCCCATCATTATTGGCTTTTAATGCAGTTTTTTGGAAACTACAAGTCAAGTCTTGCTCAGTAATGTAGGGAAAACATCAAAAGTGCAGCCAGACGATCTTGTGCTGGTGCATCTGTTGTACTAGCAGTTTCTCAGGAACCTCATGGATTGAGAACATCTCAAGAACAATCTCTGAGGTGTTTTACACTGAGAAAACGGCAGGTCAGAGCAAAAGTATCCAAGACAATACAAATGTTTGCTACTGCCAATCAAACTTAACAACTTGAATTAACTGATAGTTAGTTACCTACCAAGGCCAGCAATCTCACAACCTGTTTTCTCCTTGAGAAACCACATGTATTCAGCTTTGCTTCTAAGGATCTCGTTCATCTTACGTTTGGGATCTGTTGCTGTACACGGATTTGGTGTGGCAACATGCAGCTCCTTAATTAATTTCCATCTTCTGGATCTCAGCCTCCGGCTCCCTCTTCTGGAGAAGCAGTACATTGTACATTGATGCAGTACATTGCATCCCTGGACCCGAAGGGTGGACAGTGCTTATCGGTTGAATTGCACTTATTACCCTTTATATGATTTCAGGTGGTATTTATACTTAGTTATTTCTGGCCGCGGTGGGGGTGTTGGTGTTGGCTGAGGCAGTGGATTAACATGCTTTGCTCAGATTGGTGGCAAGAAAGATGCCTCTGTGTTCTTGTGAAGGTCCAAAATGGAACGATTTGAATGGTTTTCATTAAGTTCCAAGAAGGATGAGTCCACAAGCACAAAGTTCAGGCACAAAATTGGCCTTGTCACCTAGAGCCATATGCTCAGCTGGTGTGGGAAGTGGAACATTTACAGCACTGCAAATAAGTTGTTCTTCTTAGATTAGGTTTGAGCCATTTTATTGTGATAGAGTAGAAAGAGCTTGTCTTTATATCTAGTCATATCTAAATCTGACCTGAAAGTTCTTGTTACACTCACTGGGTATCTGTCTAAAGTGGAATATTATTTTGTTCCAAAGAAACCAAACATAGTTTTCACACAACGAGTTGTTCGGATCTGGAGTGCATTGCCTGAAAATGTGGTGGAAGCCAATTCGATAACAACTTTTAAGAGAGAAGCAGATAATTATTTGGGGAGAACAATTTTGCAGAGCTATAGGGAGAGAGTGGGGGAGTGGGATTGATTTGGATAGCTCTTTTAAAAGAGCTGGCATAGACACGATGGGCCAAATGGCCTCCTTCTGTGCTGTTTAATTCTATGATTCTATGATAGATGGATTAAGGTGACTTTGGTATTAAACTGCATTATTACAAAATAAAGAATAGAATAAAGTAAAACACACACCATGATTGTTATGAGGTTTCTTATCCTGTGTTTGTCCCACATGATGTCATTTTAGATGTAACAATGTAGTGTTGCTCACTGGCAGAACTTGTTCATATTTTCAATTAAATCTCTGAATTAAGGGTGTCACGGTGAGTTGTACCAGTCCTGTTCCACTGAATGCCAGAAAATGGGATTGAAGCCAATGATCGCTTGTAGTTTGAGTTTTAACCAAAAGGTTGAGGGAGTGCAATGCAGAATCTAGGGCGAGGCACTTCCTCACAGAAATAGAAAAAATTGTATTATGCATCTCATACCAGTTACCTGAAGAGGGACATAGATAAAGACTTACAAAGAGCATGTCAACAGTCTAGCCCTTGGTATAGGTATAAGACATGGGAAGGGTAAACCTGCCCAAGAGGAGAAAAACAAAATATCCTGAAAATGGGAGAAAGGGAATTGCGTTTTCAAAAGATACTCATCCACGTATTTTCTGAAATAAATTCCTTGAATATTCTTGGTATGATTTCTCTTCAGCTGAAATTCTATGCCATTTTCGAGTTTGTGTTCCATTTCAGTTCCATATCAAGTTTAGTGGTTTCATGGAATAAGGTTAGCCCGTCCCTTGGTTGCAAATGGAATATGAGTTTAAAATGTGTTAACCTGAAAATGCTGCCGAGTGTATACAGAAAGATTTTCAGGAAGATTTGTGCCTGACAGTGTGATTTGATTTGATGCTCAAATCTGGTATGCAGTATTTCTATGGAAGTAGCCTTGAGTTATCAATCATTGGTTTAAAAGTATTGTTCTCAAAAGTATTGTTAAATGATTATCTTCAAATTGGAACATATTTCTACATAACCACTGAAGTACTAAATAGTACAAGTACAATAACGTAGTTTAATTAAATATTTAATTATATTGAAATTGTTCTCTTTTGCTTTTGTATGCAGAACTAATTGCTTAGTCAAAGAAGATGAGTCTTTAAGTTTTGGAAGCAGAGAAGGAGGTGGCAAGACAGAATGCTTTTGGAAGAGTTTGGAAGTGGGAACAAAGTGACTGGAAGCTTGACCACCGATTTCTGTGGGGCAGAGCAAGTGGGGGTGGGGTGGGGAAGGAGGTGAAGTGATGGAGGGAGTCGCTGGTAGTACAGTCCCAGAAAATTGTGGAGCAAGGCATAAGAGGAATTTGAAAGTGAGAGTCTCACAGTTGATTCATGGGGTTAGGGAGCTAGTGGAGTTGGGCAAGGATATGGGAAATAGGGTAATTAAAATAGCTGCTTTGATTTAAGCAACATGTCAACTTTTGTAAATTAAAACTCAATGATTTTTTACAATGAAAATGTTCATATGAATGCTATCATTGTCATTCAATGATATGTCCTGAGGGATGTTTGTAGTTTTTAATGTCTGTGATGTAAAGTAACAAAGCTGGAACAATTGAGTTTAACATCTGGAAATGCTTTCTGTGCATTTTCCTTATTTTGTATTTCAGTAAGTAATATTAATAATATAAGTAAATTTTCAGCAAGAAACTAAAATGTTTGCATGCATAGAGCAGAACTTAGTCTGTGTTTTCACTTTGCTTACAGTTGTCAAGTGCTCTGCTCAGTTTGGGTCCACAGAGGGTGATCCGTGAAGGTAAGTGTATTTATTGCCTTGGATTGACAATAACACTGCTTTACAGCATTGATTTTCTCTCATTCTGGGATTTGTGCATTTTGATTAAGATGACACGAGTCAGGGAGGTCTAAATGCCTGCCGGTCTGTTCCTGCAGAACAAGAACACCAAATAGAGTTCAAGAGAACAAGTGATTTGTTGAAATGCTGAGGATGGACGAAACAATCCCCCAAAATAGCTGATTCTGACTTTCTGAGTCTGTCCAAACTTTTTTTTTGTAGCACACCATAGACTTTGATTCATATTGAAAAAACATAGGATTACTTGCAAAACAAATATTTTCCGCACTGAATACATCATCTACTAATAAACCAATATTGAGATTTATCTGCTCAAAAATGATTCTGTGAGTTGGGTAGGTCAATTCACAGAATCATTTTAGTGTTTATTCGAGTAGACTATCTGCAAATCCTGTGAAGTTCTGGACTGGAAATTGTTGGAAAGACATTGTGCAAGTGATTTGCTCCGCTGAAATCGGGTGTTTAGGTCTTTTTGGTACCATTGCCCCAGTAACTGCTGTGGACAAAGGTTATGTTTTCTACTGACTGCAAAACCTCCAACAGTTCTGACAAATGCCAGTTTTTTAAACAAATAAAACTACTGATTTATTGCTATGTCTTTTCATCAGATTCTATTATCATGGTTCATCTTAGCTCATTATTGCTGTGATTGTATTTACTGTTCTAAAGAAATTATGGTAAACATGGTGTGGAAATCCACATATATACGTGGTTGTATCTTCTTTGATAAATATCTATTTGACTCATTCATTAATTGTTTAAGGGCAAAGTTTGATTAAAGGCTGACGATGTATTTGTTGGCACTTTTCAGAAACGGAAAACATTTATTTACCATTTCAGACAATGGTCTGAAGCAAAAGGTATGACCATTTGAACTCTTGAATTAACGACTGGGGATTGTGTTATGATGGGATACTGAAATACCTAATCATTACAGAGGTTTATTCTGCTCATCCAGTCAGTGATCAAAGATGGCTGGGATGGCTCCCAGTGCAGTTTTTCCTAGCTTTTCTCTGGCAAAGTTCCTGAATTTGATCAGGTGTCTTCCATAAATCCATAGGCAAATCACCTTGTGGGTAAGTGTGGGTACATTGCTGTTACCAGTCTAAGGCATGTTACATTGATGGACCAATGTATTGAACCCTTCCTATCACTGCAGAGTGATTCTATGTGGCACATTATAATACAAAATAGCCACAATATACTGTACTTTTGGTCCACTGAATAGTGTCCGAACCTTATACATTTAACCCTCTTCTTATTATTAGTTATGGCTGTATTTCCTTCTCCTTTAGGATCTTGGCACCAAACAACATTTCCGGTTTAACGGGTAGACTGCCACACAGACAACCTTTTCCCTGCCCTAAGTGTAAAATGTTTCAAATGGGCATGTCTGAGGTCAAAATTCGCCATGTGAATTGAAGCATAAAACCATGTCCTGCTACTCTAGTGAGCTGTAATAGTAAACTAATCATCTGTGTTGCTGGTCTGCTGCGTATGCCTATTGAAGATCTTTGGATTTTACTGTTTGTTTGTTTTATACCACTTAAGAAAACCTGAAGGCCTAAAGAGGACATCCATTTCTGATTGTTCACTTAAATATCTTATTCTAAAAGCACTCTCTTTTCTCATGGCTATGAGCTTCTGAATGCCTTGTTGTCTTGCAAGCACAGTGGTTTGTTGAACAAGTAGATTCAGAACACAAAATCGCCTTGGATTTCAAGAGGGATGGGCTGTGCACTAAGTAACATTTCTGCATGTCACATTTGGCTTCCAAGTTACTTGGTGCATTTTGTTTCTTAAAAGACTGGTTTGTTGAACCGGTCGGTGCTGGAGGCACATTTCATAAGTAACTGAAGAAAACAGAGTTCATTGTGCAGTAGTTAACAGAAAAGGCCTAGGGGCTACTGTACAGTAATTTATCTTCTGCAATTACATGCTTCAGATGTTTTTAGTTATTTAGGCTGGAGGTTTTAAAAAAGCCTGTCTGAGATAGCACATGTAGGTTTGAGTGTACTTTACTCTGAGAAGCAAAATATGTGCAGGGAGAAGGTTTGTGACCATGAAATTTAAACAAGAATTGTGCTGAATTAATCATGTTTTCTGAATAATCTAAACAAATAAATGTCTTGTTTTGGTGCTGAAACTGGCGCTGTAGTCCTCGGAAAGTTAAAAGGGAATTTTTCTTGCACAGATCAATGGTTAGAGATGTATATTTTTTTCAAAGGATTACTATTCTTTGATTAGTTGCAGTCTATAATAATAAAACTCAAATGTCAGGAAATTGAGCGTCAGCCTTGGAGCCTCAAATACCCTCAAACTTTCGCCAATAAAAGTCAAAGGGGAAAAAAATCAATTTGTAAAATATTCTAAATATGATCCAAAAGTACAAAGATTTTTTAATTAACCTGTGTGGTGACATCGTCAACCTGTCCTTCTCCTCTGGCTCTATTCCCATTCCCTTAAAAACTGCCACCATCACTCCCACCTTAAAAAAACCCTCCCTTGATGCGTCGCAGCTATCAAGCTACCGGCCCATCTCCAACCTCCCCTTCCTATCCAAGGTCCTGGAACGAGTTGTCGCCTCCCAGCTGCGCTCTTTCCTCTCCAACCATTCACTATTCGAACCCCTTCAATCGGGTTTCCGTGCTGCCCATAGCACAGAAACTGCCCTGGTCAAGGTCACCAATGACATCCTGACCATCTGTGACCAGGGCTCCCTCTGCATCCTCGTCCTCCTCGACCTATCGGCAGCATTTGATACGGTCGACCACGCTATCCTCCTCCATCGCTTGTCCTCCCACCTAAACCTTCAAGGCCCTGTCCTTGAGTGGTTTAGGTCGTACCTCTCCCACCGTCTTCACTTTGTCTCCACAAATGGTTTTTCCTCCACCCCCCGCACTGTCTCGTGCGGTGTCCCTCAAGGCTCTGTCCTCGGTCACCTACTCTTCACCCTCTACATGCTCCCCCTTGGTGATATCATCCGCAGACATGGGGTTAACTTCCACATGTATGCGGATGACACCCAACTCTACCTTTCCTCTTCTACCCTCAACTCCACGACCACCGATGTCCTGACAGCTGCCTGTCCGACATCGAGTCCTGGACGAGAGACAACTTTCTTCAGCTCAACGTGCGCAAAACTGAGGCCCTCCTGATTGGCTCACGTCAGCGCCTCCGCACCTCAGGCGCTGACAGCATCAGCATCCAAGGCTGCACTCTCCACCTCTCAAAGCCGGTCAGGAACCTCGGGGTTCTGTTCGACCCTGAGCTGTCCTTTCTCCCCCATATCCGCGCCACAACTGGCACCGCCTTCCATCACCTCCGGAATGTCGCCAGACTACGGCACTACCTCACCCCTCACGCTGCTGAAACTCTGGTCCACGCCTTTATCACCTCAAGGCTGGACTATGGGAACTCTCTCCTCGCCGGCCTTCCCGGCCCTCCCTCCACACTGCAGGTCATTCAGAACTCTGCAGCTCGTGTACTGTCCCGCGCCAGGCTTCGCGACCACATCACTCCCACCCTCGCTCGCCTCCACTGGCTCCCCATCCCCCAGAGGATCGAATTCAAGATCCTCATCCTCACCTACAAGGCCATTCACGGCCTTGCTCCCTCCTACCTCTCCGACCTACTATCCTCCTACCTACCCGCCCGTACCCTCCGTTCCTCTGGCTCCGGTCTGCTCTACATCCCCCGCCCCAACCGCCCTACTATCGGTGGCCGGGCCTTCAGCCTCTCAGCCCCTAGGCTTTGGAACTCTATCCCCCAGTGCCTTCGTCTTGCTTCCTCCCTTTCCTCCTTCAAGGCCGGTCTCAAGACCTTTCTCTTTGACCGTGCCTTCAGCTCTCCTCTCGACTCTCTACCCCCTCCTCGCTCCCTCCCTTCCCTCCCCTCACCCTGACCATTTCCCCCCTGTTCGGGTCCTGACCCAACTGTACAGTGCCTTGGGACGTCCTCCCGACATGAAAGGCGCTCAATAAATGGAATCTTGTTGTTGTTGTTGTTTTAGGTCTGTATATTAACCACAATCTACTCAAAGTTTATAAAAGTCAAACCACTATTGTGGTCTTTTTAAAGAGCTTTTCTGATGAAAAACAGCAGCATCCCTGTACTCCAATTAACTCTTCAGGAGATATATTATGTTTAAGTTTAAAAAGGCCATTCACTGGAGAGGTTTGGATGAAGAAAGCCCTTATTATTTAATCCCATCCTTCCAAAATACCCATCCCAGCAGCTTCTGCAGAAGTTATTTCTTAAATGAATCCAGCATTCTGGCCTTAACCACCATACCTGTTCCAGTTATTAATTGCTTCTGAGATAAATTAATATTTCCTGGTGCCCATCCTGAAACTGCTGTTTCATACCTTGGATCTGTAATCTCTTATTCTGCTGCCCTTTCAGATATGCTGGAATAACTGTAAGCATCGTTTGGGGTTTATTTTCTGTTTGAAATCTTGTATATCTCTATAAGCTTCCATCTAAGATATCTCTTTTCAAGGAAGAAGTGCCCAAGCGTCTCTAATAATTTCTTGTTGCTCATTCCTGTAACATTGTAGATCATCCTCGTTGCTTGGGAGGTCAGTGCCTTGGGATGCCCTCCAGAAGTAAAAGGCGCTATATAAATGCAATTTTTTGTTCTCCTTGCATTGCTTCTTGGGCCTGGGTAGCTCCCTTATGTTGTAGCAACCAGAACTGAATGTAGTAGTGCAGGTATGACCTGAGCAGCGCACAATACAACTTGAGCATGATTTCTGGTTATCTAAAATTGACTGGTTTAGTTATATAACTCTTTGCCTTTATTTTGAACATTTTTAAAGTACTAGAAAATCTTTCTCCCTTTCTTCCCACAGTATTAACTCACCAAACAACCTTTAATGTTCCCTGAATGAACTATGCTGGGATACACCTGACATAACAGTCCATTCAATCAGTTGCAG